AGTGTTAGTAGCAGTAGACGCCCAACTTCGAGATCAACAGGCCGGATACCATAAGGATCGATCGTGCACGGACGAAATTGCGACACTACGGATCATCGTCGAACAATCAGTTGAGTGGAACTCGTCACTGTACATCAACTTCATTGTTTGTGAAAAGGCATTCGACAATGTGGATAGGAGAACATTATGGAAGCTTCTTCGACAATACGGAGTTCCTGAGAAGATTGTCAATATTATCCGGAACTCATACGACGGACTACGATGCAAAGTCGTGCATGGAGGACAGCTGACAGACGCATTCCAAGTAAGGACCGGAGTCAGACAAGGCTGTCTACTCTCTCCCTTCCTTTGTCTTCTGGTGGTCGACTGGATTATGAAGACCTCGACATCTGAAGGAAAACACGGAATACAATGGACAGCTCAAAATCAATTAGACGATTTGGACTTCGCAGGTGACCTAGCCCTCCTATCGCATACACACGAACAGATGCAGACAAAGACAGCCAGTGTAGCAGCAGTCTCTGTATCAGTAGGCCTCAGCATACACAAAGGGGAAACCAAGGTCCTCAAATTCAAAGCGGAGAACAGCAATCCAATCACTCTTGATGGCGAAACTTTGGAAGATGTAGAATCCATCACATACCTGGGAAGCATCATCGATGAACAAGGAGGCTCAGATGCAGACGTAAAGGCAAGGATCGCATTCCTACAATTGAAGAACATATGGAACTCAGAACAGCTTTCAACCAATATCAAAGTGAGAATCTTCAATACCAACGTCAAGGTAGTTTTACTGTATGGAGCTGAAACTTGGAGAACTACAACAACCACCATCAAGAAGGTACAAGTATTTATAAATAGCTGTCTTCGCAAGATACTCAACATCCATTGGCCGGATACCATCAGCAACAGCCTTTTGTGGGAGAGAACAAATCAGCTTCCGGCTGAAGAAGAAATTAGGAAAAGACGATGGAAATGGATAGGACTTACATTACGCAACTCGTCAAACTGCGTCACGAGGCAGGCCTTAACTTGGAATCCTGAAGGGAAGCGGAAACGAGGAAAGTCAAAGAACACATTACGTTGGGAAAGAAAAGCAGATATGAAAAGGATAAATAACAACTGGACGGAGTTGGAAAGGATTGCCCAGGACAGGGTTGGATGGAGAATGCTGGTGAGCGGCCTATGCTCCTTCACGAGGAGTAACAGGCGTAAGTATGTAAGTAAGTCGATTCGTTGGACAGGACTGTTCTCTGGGATTGTCTATTGAGGAAGGGTGTGCCTGAGAAGTTTATTAACATCCTAAAAGCCCTATATAAAAACACCTTAGGCAGAGTGAGGGCATACAACCACCTCTCTCCATTGTTCCATTCGAATAGTGGGGTTAGGCAGGGTTGCCCAATCTCACCATTCCTCTTCAACTTTGCCATCGACGACATTCTGGAAACAACTCTGATGGATGTAAGTAATGGTGGTGTGGATCTGTTACCTGGAGAAAGACTTCTCGACCTTGAGTATGCGGACGATATTGTCTTACTGTGCGACAATGCCCAAGGCATGCAATCCGCACTTAATCAGTTGGCAATCAGTGTCCGTAGGTATGGTATGAGCTTTGCACCTTCGAAGTGCAAAGTACTTCTACAAGACTGGCAGGATTCCAATCCTGTACTCACCCTGGATGGTGAGCAGATAGAAGTAGTCGAGAAGTTCGTGTATCTTGGTAGCTGCATAAGTGCTGGTGGTGGCGTGAGTGATGAGATCAATGCACGCACAGTGAAAGCCAGAGCGACTTATGCCAATCTGGGCCACCTTTGGCGCCTTCGTGATGTTAGTCTGGCTGTAAAAGTTCGGATCTACAACGCGTCGGTGAGAGCAGTTTTGCTCTATGCTTGTGAAACCTGGCCTCTCCGAGTTGAGGACGTTAGACGACTCTCTGTGTTCGATCATCGCTGTCTCCGAAGGATTGCTGACATTCAGTGGCAACACCATGTCAGTAATGCAGAGGTTAGGCACCGTGTGTTCGGGCACAGAGACGACAATTCAATTGGTGTTACCATCTTGAAACACCGACTTCGGTGGCTTGGACATGTTCTCCGAATGTCGTTCCAGAGAATTCCACGTCGTGTATTATTTGCCGACTCTGGGACTGGTTGGAAGAAGCGGAGAGGTGGTCAGTGCATGACATGGTGTCGTGGGATGAAAGAAAGCTGCAAAGGGGTGGCTTGTGTTGGTCCTTCACGACTCCCTGGTTGGGGTCTGAGAGATGGTGCTACACAGTGGCTAGAGACGTTATCAGATATGGCTCAGAATAGAAGCGAGTGGCGATCCTGCTGTAACGTTCTTTTACTTTCTTCATAAAAAGTGGTTGTGTCTCCCTTACCTGAAAGATTTCTTCTGATTGTACCTTACCGTTCCCTCGTTACTATCACACTACCTTACACCAATCTCTTCGTTATTGTTTTTTTTCTTTTGCGCTTCTTAGTTTTTTTTCTTTCTATTTCGCTTCGAATTTTCATTGTTTTGTGTGGCGCAAATATATTGGCGCTCTCTTGTACCAGTGGAGCATCGTAAGGAGATGCAATCCCATGGTAGCCGGTGACCAACGATTGGTTCATACTCCATTTGTTCCCGCAGGATACTGGAGCCCATGTGCACCATTGATTTGGTTTGGGATCCGGTCAAAGTGCCGGACATTCGCTTTTCGTCCTCTCAATTTCATGAACAACACCCCTGCCACGAAAAGGCAGTGAGTAGTACTTCCCTGGTAGAGGCTGTATACGCGTGGCCGTGTGAGATTATTTCAAGAAAGAGGGCGAGCCCACCCCACTCTCGGCCATACCAGGGCATTTATGGTCGTAAATACACACTCCAGAGGAGCCTCATACCGGGACGGAATAGCTATCCAGTGTTTCCTGGTTTTCTTATAGATGTATAACTAATGTCGAAAGGAAACATTGGATAAAAATCTGAATTAAGTAATATCAGTGATAGTTTACAACAAAACAAGAAACATTGGTAGAATGGAAAATATTGGATATAAAAACTCAAGTGATATATAAACTTAGTAAATCTCCATTGCGACTGATCTCGAACCATGCCACCTAAGGTTACGTTTATCGCATTCATCCCAAATAGTGTCTGGATTTAATAGCACAGCCCAGTCAATTAGTCAGTCATAATCAATGTAGTGTCTAGCATGAATGTGTGTTAAGCTAAGTTATCATACCAGTTATGCACAACATGGCCCTAAATGTCAGGAGCGACAGTGGCTGGGTTCGTGTAATGAATGTCCCATACATTAAGAAAAATGACGGCCACAATTACCATAAGAATAATATGTAAATATATAAATATCAAAAGAAATAAATTTACAAGGTTCTATCATTAGTGATGAATTTCTGAATAAGTAGTTTTCATGAATAAGCCTAATTGTTTATCTTTCTATAATTGGATTGATGTGTTACCGCAGACAAGACCTGGAAAAGTTAAGAACTTAATTGTGGATTACAAGTTCATGGGGTTCATAAACTCTTCCAGCAAGTGTTACCCATTTCCACAAAGTTTGTCTTGTTTGTGTTCTTACCTGAACTGCAATTCCTTATTAATTCTTGTTAATCACCACACAATTTTCCACCGTTCGCTGTCTCATAGTACTGTATTTCTGTGCTACATTTATTTAAATCTTATTGTGTCAAACATTGGTTTCTTGTTATGAATATTAATACAAATAACGATATATATACGTGGCTATACAAAAATAATGAACAAATACAGAATGAAGTTTATATTCACCTATCAAATAATTGTTTAATCTACGGTTACCGAAACTGTACTTATTCCTGTTTGTAGTACCATGACCTAATAATATTGTGTGTCCTACCAACATATCCTATATACAAGTAGAACTTCTAAGTCAAAACAGTTATTTTCATTCCTTATTTTCAAATAGCAGATCAAATAACTTAATTCTAGTTTATAACATGATGAAAAATAGGTTCGGTAAAAGTTATTCATTTTAAATTAGACTTATATAAATAAACATGATTGTTTTCATCTTAAGTTGAACAACGTGCATTTTCTTACTGTCAGTTGATTCTTCAAGATTGATTACAGAATTTTTATTGATGTCAATGGATTTTGTAGTTTTGTTGGGGACGATATATCCCAAAAACTCATATTTGTAATTTTATCATATCGATTAAATAGCAGTCAATTGATGAACTCGTTGATTAATGTTTAAAATCTTCCATGTCAATATCGATTATATATATTTGTATATATACGTTTTAAATTTTGTTTGCGGGCTCGCTCGTTTTCTGGCTGTTTGCAGAATATATTTTCCATATGAAGTTTGGACTTTCCTTCTAGGTAGCGGGGCTGGAACTCATCAGTAGCTAGATTAATGGTCTTTGGTCACTGAGTCTTGTTCTCGTTCGCGATTAAGTGAACTCGTGAAGCTTCAAACCTAACAAGTTTAAATCTCAGACTGTAGATCATTCGACATAACAGATGTTGACGTACATTTTGGCAAAGAAAAATAAAGGCTGTATTAATGTAATGGAAAGCTTACTTTGAGTTTACCAAATGTTCTAATTTACTTTTCATCAAACTGTTGTGGAACCCAACAATGATTAAGATGTCAAATCTTAATACTTATTTTCAAACTAACCGCCCTGATTAGCTTTAATTTCAACGCTAATCTGCTATTACTTTACTTATGTATTTGACGTTTGTCATAATATTCAGCTAACATTTCTAGTTGAGGTTAGTTTTCGTTGTAGATCGACATCAGTTAGAGATTACTAAACTGGTGTTTCGTTCTAATTCTCAATTCCTCATTAGTCACCACCTACATGTTTTTTATCTGATGTCATTTCGTGTGAAAAGCTATCTTTACAAACTGCCTAATCAATTAAGAATTGAAAATTCTCCGCTTGAAAGCTAAACAACGATAAGAGTATATACCACTCAATTTTCCGTAATATTGCTTTTTCCTATAGACTCACTCAGCTTCGAACCAACAGCTGTCTTGTTACTCATCCCAATGATGTTCGGAAAAGGAACTCGCATTAACCCACGTTATATTCCAGTGGTGTTGCGTCTATTTTCGGATCCAGCGTTTGTAGGCTTGATCGGTGGTCGTCGAAAACATTCCAGCTATTATGTTGGTTGTCAAAATAAGTCGTTAATTTACTTAGATCCACATTTTACTCAACCAACTCAAAACTGAATTCCCCTAAATTTTCAGTTGATGTAAGTATACTTTATTCATTTGAATGCAATTTTTAATCTAATAATATATATATATATATATATATGCGAGCTCAGCTTGTAAAAAGCTTTTGGAAAATTCGTAATATATTGAGATCTATTTATGGGAAATAAAGCATTGAAAAATAACATGGCTTTTCAAGTACATCAAAACATGTGTTCAGCGGCAACGGTTCGAACTTCAGAGGCGCCGACGCCCGTCTTGAACAGATTGTGTGTATTTGGGACCAGAATAAGATAGCAAATGCCCTTTTGGAAAGAGGTTGTGAATGGCACTTTAGCCCTCAGAGAGCTAGTCATCGAGGCCTAGTATGAGAACGGATTTATAAGAACTCTACGATCACTGCTGTTTCAGAAGGTATTGACGGACGAGTATTTGCAGACGTTTTCAATAGAAACTGAAGGAATACTGAACAATCGCACAGCTAGTTAATGATTGTGATAATCTGGATGTGCTTACGCCACATAAGTTATTGTCAGTCCATAGAGGTGTATCATTCGACAAAGCGCGGATGAGTAAAACGTGCTTATATAACAGAAGGAAGCGCAACAACTAGCCAATCTATTCTGAAACAGATGGTTATGGGATTACCTACTAACCCTTCAGGTGAGATCCAAGTGGTTGGACATGAGAAGAAACCTACAACCGGGAGATTTAGCGTTAGTAAACAATACTGGCTCACCGAGAAATCTGTGGCCGGAAGCTATAGTTAGGTCAATTATGGTCCAGATGGATGAGTCAGAACAGTTCGACTGAAGACAGCAACCGAAGAGATCAGCCGGGATATACGGAACCTGTGCCTATTAAAGGTGGTCGATTATCTGAGTGCGACAGTAGCGAAGTTTGGACGTGCTGTCCGCTTGGAGGGAATGTTAGTTATGTCCACAACTAACTAATTAAATGGTTGCTTAAGCTCCCACCACGTCAATCTGGTCTGATATGCCTGCAGACTATTCGTCCTGCATGTGACCTGCCAATTGAAGGACATTATTATCCTATTATATTAGTGTGATTCATAAATTTTATTCATTTCGATAAGACACGCAATACCGGTCGGTATGTTAGTGCGTCTCACTTAATGACTATAATTCCTATAGTTATTGTAATAATCAAATTGTTATTTTTACGTTAAGGGTTCCAAACCATCCAAAGCCAAAACTACTCTTGGCTACGTATGTTGATGGAAAAGTCGAACGTATACAATTTCTCGTGTCTTGCAGTCGCCGACTCATTGTCCCAATTACCACTGAAGTGAATTCGGAGGAATCACAAGTGCACACAGTCCTAACAAGAAACTTAAGCCATTGTCATGTTTGTCTAGCCCTTCAGGTGCTTATGGCATTCTGTCGACCAGATTGCAGTATCTCCACTAGTTCGAGTAATGACATAGTGTGCAATGTTAGATGATTAGAAGTCAATGGGAAATCCTTGACTTTGTGATAGTTGATACTCGTCAGCTCAGAGTGCCAATAAGTCAGTCGTAGCCCGGTAGTAACGTCTCAGTTTGTGAAGTTGGGTATCGCGAGTTCGAACCACACAAGGAACATCGGTTCACTCAAGACTACACGTACGCCTTGCTAAGTGTGAACTAACACGGAATTTAGGTTCAAGGTTTCCTGTCGATTACCTCCAATCACTCAACAAAAGACTCGGAGTTTAGAAAAACAAAACAATAAGATCTCATGAATTTGAAGCCGGAGGATCTCGCGACATGTTTAGAACAATATGAACGGAGACGAGCAAACTTTGCCACAAATGGGAACTAATTTTTGAAGGAATAAGACTGATGTACTTAGGATTTTGTATACAAGTTTTTATGGTGCCACTCCGCGTATTTATTGGACATACGACGTGTAGACATATACTTCTGGAACTTTTGTCACACTATCAGTATTCAACATTCCTAAGTTTATTGGTTACCTTTCATAATAGCATTTAGCTCATAAAAGTTACGAAATATAGTAAAGTATTGGGTGAAATATTCATCAAGTTTATCATTTAGTTAGTGCTTATTTACTTACATTACATTTCCTATATTAGTTTTAAACATTGTACACAACCAAGCTAAAGGTTACAAAAGAAGCGTTTTTATATTGTCATACAAACAAAACTCAGGTATACAATCTAGTAGGAATACTCAACCCCTTTAGTCTTTCAATAACCCTTATTGTGATATAAATACTAAATCTGTTTCATCAGCGATGGGAGAAAAATATTCAAACGAACAACTTATTTATGCTAATGATATCAAGAAGTCCAAATAACTAATTATGGTGAATGTAATTATAAGTCTCATCTTACTCATATACTAGACACGTTTTTTGCGGCAAAATGAATCTCCCAACAAGTTAATTGCTAACTTGAAGTCGGCTACGGGAATCAATATTAAGAGGGTTCTAAGAAGTGTTGTACTGAGTTTTGAAAATTTCATGTATCCCCTTATGTACGTCTGAATAATAATTATTCCCTAAAAATATATATATATATATATATATATATATATATATAGGTGAAAACATAATTATTATCCTTGCAACCTGAACAAAAGCACCCTAACTCACTATTTGTAAATCACAATATATCTGTACCTTATGCTTTATATAACAAGTTTACTGGACTTCTCCACTGCTACTTACTACATTGGCGAATTTCTGACATACATTGGATAGAAATCCCAAATTAGTTAGTAAGTCTGTCAGTCCACGCTCCTTGGTCAATCACACTCACTTTTACTAACCACGCATCAATTATCCGGCCTAGTTCGTCGTTCTAGATCAATAAAAATCCCTACTCATTATTATATTCGTTTTCACATTATGAGTTTCCATACCAACAATGGTTCTTATTATTTTAAATAACTTGATATTCTGAATATCTATTTTTCAGTCTTGGTACTGTCCTATTCCTAAAACAATGAATGCATCGAACCTAAACTCTTCTTGCGCTGTTGGATTCTACTGCAGGACTAGAGGAGAACTAAGTGACCTTATTGATAGGTTACCTACCCTTATGTCAGTAAGTAATAATCTCCAGGCATCAACCAGAAGCCGACCTGTTGCATTCACTGTTGAGGTGCTAGGTCTTGACAAGTCGAAAAACAGACCTTCGTAGCAGTATTGTTTTTCCTAACGCCTGAATGTACTTTTTTTAAATGAATAACTTCAAATATATTACTTCAGTATATTAACAATTAATATCTTAATAGTGTTATACATGGCTCCATATTTGTTTTTCATCAAAATGAACTCAGTTTAATAAAAAGTAACTAGTAATTGAAATAAGAATTATTTTAGGGTAACTGTATAGCTTCGCAAAGATTTAATGTAAGTATTGCATTACAAGTGGAACGCTGCCATGTTTGGATACTGTATTCTGGAAAAGTTATATTAACAATAATGAATCCAGTGGTTCTAATGCAACAGTATATAGGGAAAAATTATTGGTTACCATCGAAATGACATATATGTTGTCACATGTGTAGGATTTCAGGGAATGTTAGTTTTTACTTGAATATTCAAATGCACTAAAAATTGGTCGAAAAGTCTTTCAACTAGTCACACATATCAACTTCATGGGGACCTAAAATTCCAGGAATACAAGCTTGACGTCTTAGTTTTGCTGCTTGTGCCTGAGCAATCTCAGCTTCTCTTTCTTCCAAATATAAATCAGATAAATCTTCTCCAGCGACCTCGCGTATCTGAACAAGGAAGTCGCGTACGTGTTCACGAAATGCTGCTACATCTTGATCAAATGAAAATAGTCCATCAATGAAAACGCGAATTTGTGTTTCTTGAAGGTGAGGGAATACTTGCTTGAGTAACTGACTCAAGCTTTGATGTACATATTGTACATTTACTTTTGAACCTTGTACGGTCGTTGACTCAGGAGCATCACTAAGAGGGACTGTGATTATGTCGTTCTCCACTATTTTAAACATATAAGCCAACAGCGATGACTGAAGAGTTAAATCTAAAAAGTATTACAATAGTGAGAAACAGTCAAGTTGATATCTACGATAAGACATTTAAAATATAATGGGGGTTCCTATTAACAGATAGACCGAAACACCTAATAAATGACAGGCTTCACAACATTACATGCCTGATCGAACAATAGATTATTCATGATTAGGCTGGGATAACAAAGGTGTTAAAATTAGTAGAGTGAAAATAGATACAGTTGTGTGTCTACGGATACAATTCTTTCCAATTCGATAGATATTATCGAATGAATTTATTAGGGAGTAGCATGCTTAGACCTTATTTTGTGTGCAGTGACTTCATAACTTGCAGGTTTTCAGCAATAAAGTTACAGGCTTGTACTCGCTACACTTATTTGAAGCGGAAAATTTGTAAGAAATAAAATATACCACTTAAAATTTTAAGTTAACACACGAAAGAAAGATGGCTCATAAGTGGTTCAATCAGTTACTAATTTGCAAAAATTTATGTTACACGTGTTATGGCATTGAATACATAGTCGTATGCAAGTCAACACATTAGGGTGATCCCTTATGATGAACTACTGAGTTCCATTTACATCGCACTACGAGTCATGTGAGCTGATATTGTGACAATACACTTTTAAGGTGTGCGATCTAATACGAAATAATAGCTAGAAACTTGTCAGTAAGCTTCTAAAGATAATCTGCAGACAAATCCAGTTTGCTTTGGGAAATGAAATATCTATGAACTTTAAAGTAAACAAAAAACTGACCATATAGATTGAAGTTACTGGGTTTGTCAAATACTCACTTCCTGTTTGGGAGCGGTCAGTAATGACAGCAAACATATGTTGAAGAATATCCATAAAGAATGTTTTAAAGAATACCTGGCGTTTTTCGGAGTTCGCGCTAGACATATTTACAAGCATTGTATGCAGGATATTGAGTCCCGTTTCTGAGACCTGAAATATATTAAATCGTTAGTAGGATTGAATCAACTCACTGAATAAGTCAATTGTTAACGAAATTAACATTTCCATTCATTAAAAATGCACCACAATGATCAGCGCTAACGTCAACTATGATTTTTAGTAAACAATCACTGTAATAACATACATGTGAACGATTAATTTGTCGGATATTGTGTTTGTAACCAATAATGAAAATAAGTCATCTTCGGCTTGGAAAAAATTCTAGCTTTCAGACGTATTGTTTTTCAAAAGGATTTCTATCTACATAATCTATTCGCAGCTTAGAAAGTTAGTCTTTTTTTTAAACGAAGACTTCACTAACAGATGATATACAGTTAACGTGAGACGAGATATCCTGTGTATCTTCAAGGTAAACATTCGTAAAGAACCAAACTTTATCTGTGCAAATCACATTTGAATTTCATTTACACAACAGTTACTCCTCATTATGTATAACAATAATGCTGGAAAATTATTCACCATCACACTAAGTGAATAAAATAAATCGGCGAAAATTCACTTATTTGTCATCGTCTGTTATTTTGAGAAAACAAAAATAGCAATACTTCATATACGGAAGTGGGAGGTTTGGGGAACCAGTCAAATGATGTAAGGAATATAACAGAGTTATACTCTGGTTTACCCGTTGTCATGTTTAGTATTTCATATCGATATTGATAGTGACCTGGAAATAAAAAAAATGGTCAACGTTCCAATTTTTTTATGCATGAACACGTTTTGTACTTAGCTTAAAATACTAAACTCTTGTCCAAATCTAGAACAACTAGTGTATCTAGTTACCGTTCTCCAATCTTATCCATCTACATACACTCATTTTATCTAGATCCAAAAATTATGAGTCCACATAAGCAAAACAAAATCTACATCGAAGTACACACAATAACTGTTAAAAACCATAAGTTCAGTCAGTCAGTCAGCTACAACGTAGGACCAGGCACATATGTGCATCGGTCCAGGTTGCCATACCGCATCAGCACAAGATGAACACCGGATTCATAGCAGTGGTTAGGTCAAAGGTGGTAATAATAAGAGGAAGATTGCATATAGAGATATAGTACAAGAAGAAAGAATTGGTTCGTAGAAAGAAAGATGTGAAGTGATTTTAATCTCTTAGTTTAAGGGAAGACAGGGTGTATACACCGACGCCATTGTGATCGATTCTGAGCCATGTCACCAAGTCTCCAACCATTGGTTACGATAGTCACGCGGACCCCAACCAAGTAGTCTGCATCTACCAACATGGCTCAGACTAGAAGTTAGTGACTTCAAGCACTGATGCCACGTTTTGGTTTGGCCGCCCCTAACTTTCTTCCAACCATCTCCAATACCGGATAGCATTGCACGTCGTGGTAATCGGTGTTCAGGCATACGTAATACGTGGCCCAACCATCTCAGTCGATGAAGATTCATAACCTCATCAACTGATTTACCATCATTCCCTAATACCCTGCGTCTAACCTCACTATTACTTACCCGGTGATCCCAGCAGACGCCAGCAATATTTCTAAGGCATCTGTGGTCAAATACTAATAGCTTACGAGTGTCTTCTACTCTTAATGGCCATGTTTCGCTGCCGTAAATTAAAACAGAACGGACTGCCGCGCAGTATACTCGTCCTTTTATTGATAGACGGATATCTCGCCTTCGCCAAGGTGACGTAAGTTGGCAAAAGCCAAACGAGCTTTTCGAATCCGTGCTGAGATTTCGTCAGACACCAACCCATTAGGGCTGATCAGACTTCCAAGATAAGTGAAGTTGTCAACGCGTTCGACTACTTCACTCCCTATCCTTAGTTCAGGTGTTGACGCAGACCAGTCCTGAAGCAACAACTTGCATTTAGAGGGAGAGAAGCGCATTCCAAACATTCTGGCATTGTTGCTTAGTGCTACCAAAAGACTCTGCATTTTGTCAGCGTCTTCACCAAACAGGACTATGTCATCTGCGTATTCTAAGTCGATAAGTGGACCTCCTGGATGGAGATCAATACCCGAGAATTCAGTCGACGAGAAAGTTATTTCCATCAGTAGATCTATGATGAAGTTAAACAAAAATGGAGAAAGTGGACAGCCTTGACGGACACCACTTGAGGTTGCAAAGGTAGATGACAGTTCGCCATAAGCTCTGACTCGACTAGTAGTGTTCGAGTAAAGAGCCTTCACAAGGTTTATGTACTTCTGGGTACGCCTTTCAATGACAGACACTGCCACAGAATCTCGCGGTCTACAGAGTCAAATGCTGCTTTTAAGTCGAGAAAGACCACCATTGTCGGACGCCGATAAGTATGCCTGTGTTCTAGAATCTGACGAATGGTGAATATGTGGTCGATGCAGCCACGACCAGGTCTGAAGCCAGCTTGGTTCTCTCGTGTTTGCAGTTCACGAGTCTTAGTTAGGCGTCTGATAATTATCGAGGCTAGTATTTTAGATATTATATTAGTTAAACTAATCCCTCTGTGGTTGTCACAGGATGATTTTGACCCTTTCTTATATATTGGGACGATAAGTGATTGTGACCAGTCAGATGGGATAACGTCTAACTCCCAGATCTTAGCTAAAATATTAGTCAACCTAATCGCTAAAATTGGACCACCATCCTTAAAGACTCTTGGAGCCAATCCATCTGGACCAGCTGCCCTTCCTCGTTTCAGATTAACTATAGCCTTTTGAACTTCAGCAAGAGTTGGGGGACCTACTTCAATGTTCCATTCACACTGTCTGGGAATGGAGGGTAGTTGTAGAGTAGCTGAAGGCCAGCTGAACTGTTCTCTGAAATGTTCCGCCCATCGTTCTAAACGTCTGGACTGGGAGCAGATGAGAGTATCGCCTTTTTCCGAAATAATCTCACTTACACTTGACTTATTAATTCCAGTTTCTTTTATTAGTCTGTAAAGCTGTCTTGTGTTCCCTATAGTCGCCGCCTTTTCCATCTCTTTTGCTTTCGTTGCCCACCACTGCTCACGGTCGTTTCTTAGACTTTTTCTTAACCTAGATCTGATTTGTTGTCGCTCTTCATCATGTTCGGAACCTGATGGGACGAGTTTGCGAGAATCCATCAGTGTGATAGACTTTGAAGAAATCCACTGGTTCTTTGTAACTCTGTGGTTTAAGTCGCTAATAGATGTCACTGCTGTTTCCACAGCTGCTTGTATCTTTCCAAGCAACATCTGGGTCAGCCTCGTTTTTAACTACCTAAGTGTGACCTCAGTTGTTCCTGGAACCTACTTTTGGTTTTTTCACTGCTCAACTCAGTTCTAATGGGTCTTTTTAATGTGGCTTTTTTGCGTCCAGTGAGGCGCAAGCAGATGCGTGCCCGTATTAGGGCATGGTCGGAGTCCAAGCAGGTACTCCAGAATGAGCGACAATCTTCTACCGACCCTCTCCAACGATGACTGATGGCAATATGGTCTATTTGAGTCCATCGTTGGTTTGGTGTAGGGGGTCGCCATGTTAGACGATGTCTCTCCTTATGCTTAAAATTTGTGTTTGCTAAAAATAAGCGATTGTCTGAGCACAGTTGCAGCAGACGGTCACCATTATCTGTTCGCTGTGCCGGAATGCTAAAATATCCACCTAAATGCCTTTCTGTTTGGTTTAAGCTACCTATCTGAGCATTAAAGTCACCTGCTACGAGTACTATGTCTGAGCGTTTAGCTTTCTGAAGAAGTTCGGACAGCTTTCTGTAAAATTCATCTTTCACTTCATCTGAGCTGCAGTCAGTGGGAGCGTAGGCAGAAACGACAAAAAGGCAACGACGTGTGTCCCTATCCTTCCGAGTTCTTACGGAGCCGTTTAGCCGAACAGCACATAGACGACTGTTGACGGGGATCCACTCTAGCAGTGCTTGTTCCGCCCTCATGCTTAGTGCTATGCCTACACCTGCCAGTCCACGAGAACTGGCCATCGGGTCACCAGATACACGAGGGTGTATCTCGTTGGCTCTCCGTTTTGCCGAGGTGAGGTCAAGTGAATGACCACACTGGAATCCTGTATGCGTGTTTCGGAGACACAGCATACATCAATGGAAAGAGACTCTAGGGTTTTAGCCAAGGAAGCCTGCTGACCGATTTGACATAGGGTGCGTACGTTGAAGGCTCCAATGTGTAGTTTGGAGCGAGGTTTCAGTAGACCTGGGACAGTGTTTTGAGCACTAGAATCGTTGGCTATGGTGACACTTGAGGAGGAAGCCGAAAAGGAAGTTTAGAGTTGAAAGTCGATGTAGGAGGAATAATAGGAATTGAAGAGGAAGGTTGATTATGAATACAGTGGTCTCGAGTGCTGTTAGAGGTATGAGGGCGGTTATCACTTCCCGGTTGCCCACACCGTGGAAGGGTTCTTCTGGAGGTACCTGAAAAGGAAATTGTGTTAGGGGTGGTCTCAGTGACCTTTTTGTATTAGCTCCGTACTTGTTGAGACCTTGCCACCGGAGATGGATATTCATGAGATAATGCGAGGTGTGCATTTCTAGGGTTGACCGCAGAGCCCAAGGGACAACTGCTTGAGGCCGGTCGCGCACGGCCTTTTTGTTGAAGGTTTTCGACGTGTTAGCTCCGTTCTTCAAAGGGCCTTACCGCCGGAGACGGAAATCCGTGAGGTAAGGTGAGGTGTGACATTTTTAGGGTCGACCTTTTCTAACCCCACCCCTCCTTGTGGGAAGGCAGCATCGCTGTCATGCTGGTTGTCTGAAGGAAACACCTTACTGCTGTCACACCTCTGTACAGTCAGTAGTACGACTTCGCCTTCGGACCTTGGGTTTGTTGCTTTTAGTCTTACCGCTCTTCAACCGACCAGTCTGACATGGTAGGACCTTGAGGAACGGTTGTTCCAGCCAGTATAGCTCGGTTGCTTCATCACGATAGGCAAGCCCGACCACCACATCAAGGTTTGCAACAACGGTCGGGATAAGTTCAGAAGACAGACAAAATATTAGTATCAAGCCATTAAACATAACCAAAGTTGAAATCATTGAAATTAAATCAGAAAGAATACCAGTTTGTGACGAGTTACCTCTAGAAGTCTTTAAGGTCAATATTCAAGAAATAATGGCCGAAATTCTATCTAGGCTGTGTAAGCGGAATGATTACTTTAAACCTATCTCCATAGGAAGCCGATAAAGCTAACAAAATCCTACTTTTGGATTCGAGACAAATTCAAGAGAACAGTAGGATTCAGACCTGGCGGAAATAATCAAAATGTAACATACTGCTGTCAAATGTAGGATTATTTTTTAAAGCTAGTTTTTATAGACACAGTATCCAAGTATGTTAACAAATCAACTTGTACAAAGGGTTGCATAGACCAATGTGGATCATGAGGTGACCTCTAGAAAAGATTATAGAAACTCCAACTAACCAACCAGTGATCCTACCGAAATATCTACAGTTAGCAAGTATATTTGTGACAGCATGCTCTTTAAATATATGGTATAAAGGCATAATACTCAACATGGGAAGATCCCAGTTATTCTATCATACCCTTGAAACAAAACTTTGGCAGAATTAATTAATAATACTGAAATAAGATAAATAACGTTACTAAAACAATGGACCAGGTGATCAGGTTTTGAAAAGATACCACCTTAAGGGTCTATTTGCATACATTGTGCATAAGTGACCACTAAGTACTTCATGTACGATCTGGAGCGAAATAAAATCAGATTGAATATAACCAAATTATTTAGTGAAAATGACCCATCAGAACACCGACTGTTTGGTAAATAGTGATGTGCACAAATATAGTTCGTGAGGTCCAACGAATTAGTGTAGGATGATTATGTGCCATGTCACAAAAATCATAATGGTTCATACATGTAAAGTGTTTATAAAAAAATCCTCAAAAACATAAAAACTTTAGTATTGTTTGATACCCACAAAGTGATATTAAAACTGTCAAAATAAAAATGAAAGGTGTGAGAACTTACTTGTCGCATAGTATGTTTGATTGCCCAAATAACGCTATCTAAAATCAGTTTGAACTTATCAGATGTTAAACTTAACAAAGCAGAGAAACAATGCGCATTTACAGCCTGTAGAAGAGTGAAAAAATTAGTTCGATGTTCAGGAAATTCTTCCAAGTCTTTATCGATCATCTCTAGAGTAGACTGAAAGACCGCATCTAAAACACGAGGCAGAGCTGGGAGAATATGGTCTTCAAGACGATTAACAAGGGTAGCCATTAAGCTTAAAACTTCGGCCTCTCGAGCAGCAGGAAGATTTTTTTGGTAGTCGTCAGCTACGGCATCTAATAGCGGAGGTAAAATGTTCTCTGCCACCTATATAAAAGATAAAAGTGAAGATGAAGCTTTGATTTACGAAGGCTGTAATTTTAACCACGGAGCTCTAATACATGCAAAGTCAGATACTTGTAAACAACTTACAAAAACAGGGTCAGTAGTCCTTTTTATCCAACAAGATAAAAGATTCAATATCGCTTTCTTGACTGATCGCATACTGCGAATAAGTGGTTGTTTTGTCACTTGCTCTCCATTGGTAGCCACAGCCTGGCCAATATTTTGGGACATTATCTTATAAACATTCAACATGTCCAGGTAAATGCGACCAAGCTGAAAAGAATATATATTCTTTTAAGATAAGATTAACTAACTTTAAAAAATCAAGTATCAAAGATTTATGACCATGCTTACCTGAACAAGATAAGAATGTCCGAGGGATTTGCAAGCACTGTGATTTGTTTTCAGTAAATTACAAAGCTGTTGTACAACTTCAAAGTCTCTTAACAGGTCAATATTGCATGCAGCTTGAACGAGAATCCCATCCCAAATCTACATTCGGATAATTTGAAAAGGATAGTATAAAACGTACTTGATTGGGTAATCGAAAAAGTCGTTCTATCTGTCTAGCTTCAACAGCTGAGTCAAGTTGGGCACTGATAATCACTCCTACGGCTTCATAAAATGTGTGAACCTGTTGAGGTTGTAAATCATTGATTATGATATCAATTTCCTTTAAAATCTCTTCAATAAATTCAACTGCTTCTCCGTACTATCCGAATAAGAAAAGTACAAGAATTGTACAGTAAAACCGGAATCGAATTATTAATACATTACAAATGAACAGAATAATGAAGTATGGAAACATGTTTATAACTAATCGACAATCTTCATAAGAATATGAAATGTCACCTTACTTCCACATTCATCGACTCGCTAACTGAAGTCGGCTGGAATAAAATGTTTCAGACAGAAAATTCTAAAGATCAGAAATCTTATCAGGAAAATTCTTATTACTGTCAAACAGCTGGAGAACGGTTTATCTGTAATATTGCAACAAATGGTGCTTGTTATGTGTCGGATGGTACGAAATTGACCATATTTCATTAAAAACTTCACAGTTTTTTCCAAGGTTTACTGGTTGGCTTTCAAGTTACTCGAAGATAAATGGAAGTCAAACAAATCTGTAAAAGCCTTTAACAAAAATGTAATATGTATGGTATCATTATGTATTCTTTACGTAAAAATAACACAGATTACACTATATCTTTCAGTGAGTCAAGCACAAATTAAGGTGGTCGAAATTTTCATCAGCTACCCAGACTTAGGCAATTGTATAGAATGTGATAGTTTAACGTTTATGAATCTATAGAACAAAAACCCGCCTAGTCGGCATCTGAGACTGTTATTAATAATTAGGAATGATATGCAAGATATTTTTATTGAGTTAAATTATGTAAATAATACCTAGTTAGTAATGAGATTTGGATATAAAGGCTATCATGATGACTCAACCAAGCTATAACGACCGAAATACATAATCTTGTAGGTTTTGCCATGGTGGTGGGTAGCGAAAGCAAATGAGATAGAAACGACAGTGGAGATAAGTAACGACAGATGACTATTCGAAGAAACAGATATTAAAAACCAGAGTATTAGCAAAACTACTTCGGGAAAAAATGGGACTGTTATTCACTCTACATCCAAGAGAAAAGGCCATACGCAATCTAAAGCTAAGGGGAACAGCAGGGCCTGATGGATTAACCATTGAAATTTGTAAGGATGATGGTTCAGTTTGAGCAGTTAGATTAACTAAGATCTTAGAATATGGTAACTGAGTCGACCCAATCTACAAGAAAGGACAAAAATAGACTTGTAGCAATCACAGAGGAATCAGTTTAATTAATATAATCTCTAAAATAATACTTCAACACCTAACTAGAGTTCGCGAAGAGTGAACCCGAAGAAGTTAAACTGGTTTCAGACTAGGACGTGGATGAGCACACCAAATACTCACCCTTCGGCAGATTCTGGGACATGGACGTGTATTTTAGAAGCAACACTCGTTATTTGACTATTCAGGGGTTGACTTACCAGGAGACTAACTTGTCAACTTGGAGTGTGCAGATGGCAAAGTTCCGTTTGATGAAGACGCTGTTAAAAGCCTTTTGGCCACCTTGTGACAATGTAGGCATGTTTGGAATACAATACTTACCCTCAAAATTCTAGATGTTGCTTAAGGATTGAGCTATATTAGCGCTTGGATTAATGATAGGGAATAAAGTAGTTGAGCGTGTCGACTGCTTTGCTTATCTTGGGCGTTTCATCAGTACAGATGGTCTTGTGTCCAACGAAAACTCGTCATGGATTCAGAGGGATTGATTGGCTTAAGCCAACTTGCGTCACTTGTGGAATAAGCGACATAGCCATATTTAAGCTGAAAGACGAGTTTACTGAGCAGCAGTTTGCTCCGTCCTAATTTCTAGATGTGGAACATGGTCATTAGGAATGGAGAATATTCGTAGGTTGCTGGTATTCGATCATAGGTGTTTACAAAGCATTGATCGCGTACTTTGGGACCACGGAGTAAGCAATGATTAGGTTCGGAATAAAGTACTAGGTAAAGATGGGAAATCGGCTGATGAGGTAGAACATTTTCATCAACTGAGGTGGTTGGGTCATATCTCACATATCCCCAACCGCCATCCACCTCGACGACCGGTGCTGTCTGGTGTAGTAGTAGATTGGAAAAAAACCTAGGAGCGATCAAACTAAGACGTGGCACCAATCCATAAAGTCATTGACAATTGTACTGAGCCATTTTAACATGTATCAGTCAAGCAGCAACAACGTAGGACCAGACACGTATATGCATCAGTCCAAGTTGCCAAACCTCATTAGCACAACAAGATAAACACCAAATTCATAGAAGTAGTTACTTCAATGGTAGTAACATATAAAATAAAGATTGTGTATAAGGATATAATAAGGGAAGAAAGAATTAGTTCGTAGAGGTATAAAGCAATTTTAATCTCACCGTTTAAGGGCAGACAAAGAGTGTATACACCGACGCCATTGTGATCGATTTTGAGCCATGTCACCAAGAGTCTCCAACTACTGGTTACAATAGTCGCACGGACCCAAATCAAGCGATCTGCACCTATCAATATGGCTCAGACCAGAAGTTAGTGACTTCAAGCACTGATGCCACGTTTTGGTTTGGCCGCCCCTAACTTTCTTCCATCCGTCTTCAACACTAGTCAACATTTCACGTCGTGGTAATCGGTGTTCAGGCATACGTAGCACGTTGCGCACGCGTCTCAGTCAATGAATATTCACAACCTCATCAACCGATTTACCATCATTCTCTAATACCCAGTGTTCAACCTCACTATTACTTACCCGGTAATCCCAGCAGATGCTGGCAATATTTCTAACATCTGTGATCAAATACTAGAACCTTACGAGTATCTTCTACTCTTGATGGCTACGTTTCGCAGCCGTAAAGTAGAATAGAATGAACTGCCGCGCAGTATACTCATCCCTTAATTGATAGACGGATATCTCGCCTTCGCCACAGGTGACGTAAGTTGGCAGAAGCCAAATGAGTTTTTCGGATCCGTGCTGAGATTTCGTTAGACATCAACCCATTAGGGTTGATCAGTAGTAGGTCTATTGTGAAATCGAACAAAAATGGAGATATAGACAGCCTTGTCAGACACCACTTGAGGTTACACAAAACGAGATGATAGTTCGACATAAGCTCTGACTCGATTAGTAGTGTTCGAGTAAAGAGCCTTCACAAGGTCTATGTATTTCTGAGGTACACTTTTCAATGACAAACAATGCCACAAAACCTCTCGATCTACAGTCAAGTGCTGCTTTTAAGTCAAGAAAGACCACCATTGTTGGACACCGATAAGGATCTCTGTGTTCTAAAATATGACGAATGGTGAATGTGTGGTCGATATAGCCACGACCAAGCCTGAAGCCAATCTGATTTCTTCGTCTTTGCAGTTCACGAGTCTTTATTAGGCATCCACGTGATTATTGTAACCACTACTCAGAGACCTTAAATGACACGGCTCAAAATCGTTTGCAATGGCGCAGATGGACTCACTCATTGTTTTTCTTCAGATACTAAGCTTCTGAATCTCTTATAATCTTAATATTTCACGAATTTATATTTCCTTGAATCGTATCTTCTGTCTTCTTTTCTTATATCACTGATGTTGTTATCATCTCTACTACTCTGGGCCTTTCCCTAAGAATTTCATCTGACTATGCCAATGGTGTATGGCAACTTGAACTGCTATACGTACTTACCAGGTACCACGCTTAGTTTAACTGACTTACTGACTTGGAGACTGTGTGACATTGCTCAGAATCGATCACAATGGTGTAGGTGTATACACTCTTTGTCTTCGCTTAAACTATGAGACTAAAATTATTTCATATCTTCCTTTCTACGAACTAATTCTTTCTTTCTGTACTATATCCTTATATGAAGTCTTTCCTCTATATATTACACCATTGAGTTAACTGCTTCTATGAATCCGGTGTTCGTCTTGCTGTGCTAATGAGGTGTGGCAACTTGGACCGACGCATGTATGTGCCTGGTCCTAACGTTGTAACTGACTGACTGACTTTGTCAAATTATTAAACGTGCATGAGAAAGTAAATTCAGTTTCGTAACTGCATAAAAGAATTCCTGTAACAATTCCTGACGTATAGTCTGCAAAACTTATTTATAAATTGGTTGATTATAAAAATACACGCCACATATTTTGAAAGAGAAATGTAAACGAAGATACATAGTGTTTACATAATGCAACCAATAATTTATAAAAGCGCACGTACCTGTACAGTTACTAATTGTCGCCGACATTTCTGAGCAATTTTTATGAAAGTATCACAAGCCATATCTTGCACACCTTCATGTGTTTCGTGCATGAATTCAAAAAGCTTTGTAATTACAGTTTTTAAGAATCGCCAGTGTGCGCGCAGAAATCGAGGGTATTGACCAACAACGTACATGATATTGCTCGCAACAATAGCTTTATTATCTTTGCCCCGTTTTTGTTCACACAGTCCAAGAAGGTCTCGAATTACAATAACTAAAAAACTTCTTTCGTCGTCTTCCTGCATAGCACCAGAGATGCTACCGATCGCCCAACAAAGTGTGTTAAGGTTGTGCCATGACCACTCTCGTCCATCTACTTGATGTTGCAACTTCTCGATCATAATCTTCTTTGTATCCTATGAAAAATAAGTATACTATTATTGATAGTCAAAGTCCGAAAATCCAGTTTAAAGAGAACACAATATCAAACTTTTAACTAGAAACGGTCGGAAAGCGTAGGAGAGTACTTACAATGTTTTTCTATGAAAAAAATAACTCATTTAAAGATGATTGTTTTAACTACCAAAGACTTTATAACAAAATCTATTGCTTCAACAATAAAACATCGTGAACGCCTGCTACAATCTAAGCACTCACAGCATTGCAGGATTGAACTAGCTAACGTCTTGGAACAGAAAATACTTGGTAAAATAATACCATAAACTGATATACCTAAATGAAAATCAATCCCAGTTTAATGACAGGCGAGACTTCTTCGGGATCTGATATGGGTATATTCATGGATATACCTAACCACAGTTTAGATTTTCGAACTGAAAATTCAGTAGAAGGTGGTTGAATGTAGTTCACTGTTTGAAATTACGTACCAACTAATTTTGACAGACAAACACCAGGCAAGTCTGATAGTTTAGTTATATTTGAATTATTATTTTAATATAAAGACAAATCCTTAAAGTTACATAAGGCTACTATACTCGTCTACGAGGAATGTTTACTAACTAGTAATTACTACTGAAAAAAATGCAGACTTATAAATAAAAATAGATAGATGGATATCATGAACGGAAACATATTTTCCTGATCACGATTAGGAAGAATTTTTATAATCCCTTTACACGATATTAATTCGTTATGTATCTGGTCTACTGATTTTGATAGTTTACTTTGGCATAACAAACGAAATGATAAATAAACTCACTTTCTTATCACATGAATAGCTCAATAAATAAGCATCTACCTATCATGGCGTACAACATTGTGAGAAGCAACAATATCGTAATGATCACGGTGAAACAGAGATTTCACACCTTTTACACTTAAAATGATCGTCGTCGTTTACCTGACAAATGTTAATAACCCTTGACTTTGAATCTTCGGATCATGGTTCAACTAATTTTGATTGAGCACCTAAGTAATATCACCAGCACTCATTAAATGTGTGGCTCAAAGTGAGGTACATAAACCTGTAACTGGTTTAACAGTTACCGTATTTGATTGATATTTAGTCATCAAACTACCACTTTATTTCACCAGTGAGCATCCGAAGATGTACAGCAGTCGATCCTAAAAAGTGTCACCTAGTTGTTTAAATCTAAAACACTCAATTTTGTTTCATTAATCAGAGTTTGAACAGTCCAGCATTACTGTAACACATGTACAAGAGTAATTCTGCATGTACCTCTTCTAGTATTACCCCCGGTCCCAAGCCCGGATACAGGACGGTTGGGCATGGGGTCGGCTACACCATTCCGTAGTAAACAACCTTGTTATAGATGTCACCCCACCAATAATCGAGGTCAGAATGGCTATGAGACAAATGAAGTGCGGGAAAGCAGTATGATTAGATAAAATACTAGCTGAAGCATTGAAAGTCAGACACAGAAGTAACTGCAAATACACTCTACATTTTATTCAAAAGGTATGAGAAGAACAAGTGCTGACAAGTTGGAGATAAGGATACCTCGTCAAAACAACAAAGAAAAGATATATCAACAAGTGTCACAACCACAGAAGCATCACACTACTATCAGTACCAGGAAATGTTTTCAACAAAGTATTTTTGGAGAGAATGAAAGATTCAGTAGGCTCCTAACTTCCACATCGACAGGCCGGATACCATAAGGAGCGGTCGTGCACAGACCAAATCGCAACACTACGGATCATCGTCGAACAATCAATTGGATGGAACTCGTCACTATACATCAACTTCATTGACTATCAGGATGTATTTGACAGTGTGGATAGAACATTATGAAAATTTCTTCGACACTATGGTGTACCTGAGAACATCGTCAATATCAAACGGAATTCATACGACGAACTTCAGTGCAAAACCGTGTATGGGGGGCAGCTGACAGATGCATTCATAGTGAAGATCAGTGTCAGACAATATTGCTTACTCTCTCCGTTTCTTTTTCTTTTGGTGTTCCAATGAACTATGAAAACCGACACATCTCAGGGGAAGCACAAATTACACTAGATACCTTGGGGACGGTCGAATAATTTGGATTTCCCAAATAACGTAGTCCTTCCATAACAAACACTGTGACAAATTCAGGCGAAGACAGTCAGTGTAACGACTTGCGTCGTAGCAGATCTCAACATTCATCAGGGAAAACACAAGACCCTAAAAAACAACACACTCAGCACAAACCAAGTCACAATTCATGGCACAGTCCTGGGAGAGGTAGAATCCTTCACGTAGCTAAGTAACATCTTTAATAACTAAGGAGGATCTGATGCAGTTGTGCAGGGATTAGCAAAGCGAAAGCAGCATTCCTACAACTGAAGAACATATGGAACGCAGAACAACTACCAGCCAACGTCAAATTCAGAACTTTTAATACAAGCGTCAAGACAGTTCTACTGTACGGAGATGAAACTTAGAGAACTACTATGACAATCACCAGAAAAGTAGAGACATTTATAAACAGCTGTCTATGTAAGATGCTCCAGATCCGTTGACTAGATGTTCTTAACAACAACCTACTGTAGCAGAAAACAAACCAGATTTCAGCTGAGGATAATATCGGGAAAATAAGCTTGAGGTTGATAGGATATACATTGCGGTAATCATCAAGTTGCATTACGAAGCAGGCCTTAACTTGGAATCCTAAAGGTAACAGGAAAAGCGGAAGACTAAAGAACATATTGCGCCGGGAATCGGAGCCACACATCAGAAGAATGAATAATAAAGGGAAACAACTGGAAAGGAGAACCCAGGACAGGGTTGGTTGGAGTATCCTGGTCGGTGGTCTATGTTCCACGAGGGTTAACAAGAGTAAGTACATACAAGTGTGAACCACAGTTTAGTTAACAAACCTGTTAATGAATTGCATTCACCCTTCTGGGTTGTACAAAGTTATAGGTACACAAGTAAATCCCAAGTATATTTGATGAAATTTATAACGCCAAGCAAAGGATGCGGGGATTAGAGATTAACTCGTAAATCTTAAGTTTCAACTGCACATTATACTAAGATGTTTGTGGTGACTCTATTACTAAATTATATACACCGTTTCCACTAAAACTTTCTGGTATAAAAGCCAATAATGCTGGTCAAATATTTCAACCAAAATAAGAGTGCGATTGGGACGTACAACCATGAAGTTTGGTTAAAAGTCGAATGCTTTAGCCATCAAATTATACATCCCAAAATTACTGAATAAACGAGAAGTAATGGTTTAAAGTCAAACTTCTGTTAACTAAATTCCAAATCTTTTCTGTTTAGTTCACCAAATCATTAATTTGATTGGTAATTCAAGAAGTCATCTGTTTCGTGAAAACTAGTTCACGAATTCATGTCCTGATCATGAAAGATATTTTTGCAGACTAACCAAATGCCATATGTAAAGTGAATGAAATACATGGACTAATTTATATTGAATTACCACCTGATTTTAAATATATTGAACTTGCAAGTGTACACGAAAAAGCAGTAATATAAACGTGAGTAAAACTAAACGGAACTTACAGAATAATCTAAATGAGTTAGGTATACCAATGTTTCGCGCATGCTCTTGTACAAATTAAGACTGTCTGTATCCTTCATAAACTCTCTGACAACCTCACCATGTTCATTTTCAACTACAAGTACTTCTTCAGGACGAGCCATGCGTGAGATCATGATTCTTCGAAGCTGGGAATAGGAAAGTCGTCAAAAATAATTTAAAACTATTGATAAACTTATAGTATTTACGGTGGTTGTAAAGAAAACGGGTTTCCATGATACAACTAAATGACTTTTATTCATGACGTGACACAAAAACTTGACCTATTGGATTTGGTAGCTAACCAACAGCGGAAATGTACGATGATAACACGGTTCTTCCTTCTATAAACAAAAGACATCATATGGTGTTAATAGGTCCAAACTGTTAAGCAATCCCTTTGAAAGAGAAAACAATCAACAGAAAAGCAAATACATTGGTACTAAGATGTGTAAAAACTGAATAAAGATAGGCGAAGGACTTAAAGGTCTGAACAGCGGAAATACATGACCATGATTTAGCAGGAAATATGTGAATCCCAACAATGAAGCATATCGTCCCTTTTTTTAAAAAAAGAAAGACCTATTTTATTATTTGGAATAACAATTTCAGAATAAAACTTAAGGTGTACAACTCTTAAATCAAGCAAAATTCTACATCAGAATTGAAGGGTCAGAATATATAATTAAATTATTTCATTATGATGCGCGTGCAAAAGGAGACCCTTGTAATGTTATTACTAATGTCACTGTTCATAATGGTCATAAGACACCAAAAGTAAGACAAACTACTTGTCCAATTGTCTCGACTAGGATAATTGCACTTTTCGCAGTGATCAGTGTCTATTTCCAGTACCGATACATCGATTAAAAAAACGAAAAAAGTAATCGTATTAACCCTCTATTAAGTAAAACAAATTTCTGGATGAAAGTAAGAATACCTTAGACAAAATTGGTGCATATTGTTTACTTCGACCTTCACCAGTGGTGGATTCAGCCAATGTTCCAACTACCGTAGTTGTAAGACTTTCTCGATATAAATCAGAAACTAAAATATTCCAGTATTCTAAACAAATCTTGAATATTTCCCTTTCTTCGACTTCCGAGAGCATCAAAAGGTAAGCATAAGCATCTTGTAATTTCCAAATAAGCTCAGGTTTCTCGACGAGACTGCTATGACCTTTGAGGAATGTTGTGTAAAAATTGCTAGGTTTTGGATAAAATTCTGTTCATCATTACTTCCGCGCTCGTACGCCTCTTTTAGTCGTGTTTCTAAAGGCAACATCTGTATAACAGTTACTAGATAATATGGACCAACTCACTTCTTTTAGTTTTCGGTAGTAGAAACAAACAGTTCTACTAGCTGGGTATCATATTCGTCCACTAATACACCCGCTGAACAAAAATATATCAATACAAAAAATGAAACATACCTATTTCTGCAAGGCATTTTAAAGTAATATTTCGGAACAGAGGGACATTGAAGAATTTAAATACTAAGGTTTGTATTAGATTAGTTTCAAATATATATCCTAAGGGAATCCAATGCATAAAACGAAGTAACGTCTCTAGTGTCGAAACAACTAGAGATGCATTTTGGGAATTTTCCAGGACATATTGACAAAGCTGAAAAATCAAACTGAACTGTTGACACATAGAGTCTTTTAAATGTTTAGCTTTTGTTTGAGTCATTTGACCCAAAGAGAAGTCAAAAACTTCTTCGCTCAAGAGACGCAAGATGACCATATTGTTCTGACATAAAGATTCATTTGTCTTACTTGCCCCAACAATGTCACTAATGAATGTTGACCAGTTATTAGGCCATTCATGTTTTAATATCTGAAGGAAAGTAAGTCATAAATTTTTTTACCTCAACCAGAATCATATTTAACTTGCCGAGATACGTCTTTTCCGACTCCAAGAGCTCCGAACTGGACGATGTTTGGATTATCAAACCAACGATGTACTTTTTGATACCTAAGAAGACAGTTTTGGGTTACAGTACTGGTTACCTTCACATTGTGGTCGGGCTAGGACTTTCCAACGTGTTTTGATTAATGCTTCAAGTATCTGAAGGGCGAAATATTTCGTTTCTTGGTTTGAACTGAATTCTAGAATCGAATCCACGCGCATCCATGCATCCGGATGTTCCTTGAGTGTATTCAGGACTTTCTCTGCGATTTTTTGTTGATCGCCTGCTTCATGGTACATACAGTTCACGACACGGTCTAGAAGTCCAATATCGAGGCGCTGAGAAAAATCTAGAAGTTGGGCGGCAGCAGACTCCGATATTACTCCCATCGGTGACGTTGGTGGCATGTATCGTGTTGTGACTAAAACTAATATAAAGTAGTTTCGTGGCACTTTAACACCTGCACCAGTTTGATCACAATTAACATATAAACGCGAATCAAAAGGGCGTACAACCTGATACATGCAGCTATCCAAATATCCAGTGAAAAATTCACATGAATTAAAAGAAATTGTAACTACGTCAAAATAAGGTAAAGTAGTTAGCTGCTTAGTGCCTCAAGTTGAAATTTCGAGCGCATTTAACCTTAACACATTTACATTCACAATGTATTAAAGGGATATAAGCTGGATGGTTACACTCCATGCCTCGCTCGAATAACCGATTAATAACTAAATGAATTGTTTTGAAAGAAAGAACTCTCACTTTTCGCCTTGCCCTTTTAAAAGAAACTTTAGAAAGTAGACGCTGACTGTATACAAACTCAAGTTGGACGTAACAATAGCTAAAATTATAACTAAATGCATGCTCCATCGTATATATATATATATATATATATATATATAGTGCTAACCATGAATCATGATTCCATAACATTACACGTCATTCACTCGAATAGTTAGAGATGTTTTAAAATACGAAAAATGTAAGGGCAAAGATCTTATGAACATCATTCTGTGATATTTTTAGAACTCGAAGCAAGAATTTAGGTATTAACTAGTGGTTAATATCCCGAAATGAGAACGTGTTATGTAACTTTTTCAGAAATAACAACCTACTGTAACATGGTAAACAATGTCCCAAACTCTTAATGAAAAAGGGCAATCTTGTTGCCGACATATATTACCCTATCTTTGGTATCTTAAGACACAAATTTGACTGTTATTGCTAACATAGTAGATTAGTGTCTTTAGCTCAAGTCTTAGTTAGACGATTACAATTACCCTGAAAATCGTTATAACAGTGTTTACAACAAGTTTTTGTAATGAACTATTTTGTTTGTAAGCAAACTGAAATTTATGGAATCGAGCAACTCATCCGAATTATCAGAAAATATCCAAAAACCAAGGGTTGACTTACGAACTGTATCTTGAGGAATGGGGACTTATTGCGAACAAAAAGAATCAGATCTTCAGTATATTTTGAACCCGTACGTCTGTCAGAAAAACCGGTTTATAACCGGTTTCACGTGCGAAACACCAGACTCCTCAAGGCCATCCATTGACAAACGACAACAGATACTAAAAGTATAAGGTTTCGTTGTGGTGCTAACACAGTTTGTAGTCTTATAAGTATTAAATATTGTTGTCGCTCTCGTACGAAATGATAAATAAGCAACAAGGTGCGGTCAGGAATCTGATTCATCGTTGCTAGGACTTGCATTTACTTGTAATGAGCAAAGCGTTATTAAATTCGATTACAGTCTGCTCCTGAATAAGAATGTTCAAGTATCTTTAATATTTACTTGCCATACAACAATGACGTGCAGAACTCGGGCACGTCAAACGTATGGAAACACATGCATCGTAAATTATACAAGCAGTATCAACAATACGCTGGACAATAAAATCAGAATCCTGTCCAGAAAAGGATTCAGTGGTGATCCGGAATTCGTTCAACATAGCTACCATATAACAGGTGCTTTGACTGATACCAAGAAACTATTCCCTATGGTCCAACAATTTTCACACGATTCTGAATAAAACATGTGTGGGTGAAATTTAGGTTAGTGGGAAACTGTTAAACTAAGTGTCTACACAAAAATTAGGAGAACTTCTGGCCCAGCTCTACATAGTTAAAAGAATAAACCATAAAGCAAAGCTTGGTAAGGACTATACGGAGTGCTATAAATGTCTGTTTTCTTATAAAAATTAGGGGTAGAAGGAGTGGTGTGACAGCATTATATAATTATTTATTTCAACACATGAATACTTGTAAAATTGGGTACCAAAATAAATGCTCATCACAAATAGGGAGGTGAAGTTGAGCAAAGATTCGGAGAGGAATATGGGTATAGTCTAGACAAATAAATAAGCAAAAACAATTTACATTAGTATGCTACGAAAGAACGACTCATTTAAGAAAAGTACAATCCAGTGCAATCCTTTCAGTTAAATGTGTTATAACTAAATGAAAACGATTGACCTCTGTTCTGGGCAATTTCCGATAACGTCTCAAGCCACTGAACAGCACCATCTCTCAGACATCAGACAAGATGTCGTGATGGACTGATAGATACCTATACCATACAATTTTCTTTCATACCACAGCCCCTTGTCATAAACTGACCGCATCCGCACTTTATCTTACAACTCCAAAAGTCATCAACTAATGGATGATGTGGAATTCACTGGGATAATGTTCTTAACACTTGGCCGAACTACCAAAATGAGGATACCGAATGGGGTATCGTCACTGCACTCAAACTCATATTCCCAAACTTCCGTATGACTAACAGAGCGTTGTCTCTGGATATAATCAAACCTTCGCGGAAAACAATGATCGAACAGGAGTTACCAAATCTCATCAGACTGAGAAGATTAAGCTTCATCAGCATAAAGCGAAACCGCGCTCATTGACGCCCTGAGGATCCAATTTTTAAAGGTCAGAATAGAAACATGACGGTGACAACGATGGTCCGAATTAACATAGGCCGCTCGGACTTTCTTAACGCCTGAAATGATCCCGTAGCTCGCGGAACCACCAGAAGTGACTTAGCAGCCTAAGTACACGAATGTTTTGACTGCTTCTTATTGCTTACTACTAAGACTGAGTGTGGACACGAGTGTTACGAGAGGACTGAAAACATCTGGCTGATTAAAAAATTTATATTGAATATTGCTAATTTCATTGTGTTTTAGGATGTATTTGTTTTACTCAACCTCAGAAATTGTTTGTTTATATAGTTATTTTCGAACGTTTCGGATTCTCTTTGTCCTTGGTTTGGTATTTTGGAGTTTATGTTCTAGGAACCTAAAAAATCGAAGAACGGCATTTAAGTCAACTATTTGTAAATTACGAATAAACTTTGGTACCTAAATTAGAGCTTGGTTCTACTGTTAATTTTGGTTCATAAATTTCAAATAGATCAATATACCATATTTTAATAACAGAGTAGAGAGCAAAATCTTGAACGTAAGACGGGCTCTCGCCAGTCATTTATAAGTACTTTGCACTCAAAAGATCCAACGTTCAAGGTATACCTACGAACACCAACTGCCAACTGATGGGGTGCGGATCGCATGGCTTAGGTATCATTCCACAGTAAGATGATTTCATCTCAATACTCAGGGTCGAAATGTCTTACTTTGGGCAGTAGATCTGCTCCACCACTCCTCAATTCCAGAGCTATTTGAAGCAACCCTGCTAACCCACTGCCTTAGCGAAACAATCAAAGCTCGGTTGTACGCCCTCAATATACGCTCTACGGTGAATTGACGACTGTTCTTGGGCCTAGTTTCGTAAGATTGCTTGTGTGTGTTTTGGTATGAACATGCATGAAAACTCCTGCATGTTACGTTTTGAGTGAAAGTAACTTGTTATCTTTGTTTGTGTGTAAAATTGGCACTTTTTCGTCTGCTTATACATTCATTATATATTCTAATCCACATGAGTTTATCGTCATTTATTTTGTGTATAAATTCAGTTTTTGATCTTTGCTTTGCTACCATTTGGTTAATCGATTTATGCATTTTGATTTACGTATTCACTGTACTTCGTTGGCGGCCAGATCTAGCTACTGTACTCTTGATTGTTACTGCATGTCTCGCGGGAACGGATACCCCCAAAGGATGGAGGCCACGTTTCTTGTCTGTTAGAGATGTTTAAAGCTACTGAACACGATGGTCTTTCATCTTTTTCTGGTAAACTTTTATGTTATTCTCGAATTCTCACATAATTATTATGTGGTTGTTGATGGCTCATGTTTGGATCAAATTGAAGCCACATATACTCATTTTTTGGTTATCTGTTGAACTTACAGGCCCGCTTTAAGTCCATTTAAGTGTTGCGCATTTGTAATTTCGGACGCATTTTCATTTTCATTAATACTACCCAGGTACCGAGTTATTGGATTGGAATATGAACCTTGGATCTACAGCAAACATTTATTTAAAAGCCTCCTGTGTACGCGGTTAAACCTATCTCCTGTCCGATATGAATCAGCGCAAGAACGTTGAAGAAGGCTATTTCGAATGAAGGTTATAACACTTCATCAGCCTTCAAACCAAAGCAAATCCCGAACGTCTAGGAAATCCGGATAGTTCTGTTTATGCCACTGGAAATTTGGTGTCTGATCAACGACGTGCAGTCAACCATGTGCCTGGTCTGGACAGATTCCCAAGAATATGGTAAACGAATAACCTCTCTACTGGTCACGACGACTGAAGAGGGTTGCCTAAACAATCGCTTGCTTTATGTTGGAGAAATAAGTTCAGGTTTGAACGTTTTGGTGGACTGTGGTGCGGAACTTAGTATCGTTACTCAGAAAAGTACCGGCCTGAGTCGATGAACACCCCTAGTTACACTTCAAGCTGCCAAAATATAAAATCACTAGGTGTTTGCAGAAAACATTGACCCTAGACTTGCGGATTAAACGACAATTACCTTTGAACTTTATCGTACCTGATTAAGATTTGGCAATACTGAGAATATACTTTTTAGAGAGATTAATTTCTAGTCGAGAGTGAAACGATGTTTAACACTGAAGGAAACTTCAAATTAAACAAGCCGCAAAATGTCACATCACTTCTGTAAGTGCGATACAAACTCCGCCGGTAACAACTGCAAAATTCCAGGATATATTCTTGGATTTTTAAGCCAAACTAAATCAAACCATCGGAATTCCAAAGGTAAAGCAAAGGTAAGCCACACGACCAAAATTGAAGGGGTGCCTGTGTTTAATAGACCCAGAAGCCTTGCACCAGATAAACTCAAAAGCACTAGAGCAGAATTTAACTACATGCTACACCTTGGTGTTATCCATCCATCTGAGTGCCAATGGGCATCGCATTTGCATATGGCACGAAATGAAAACGAAGGCGATTGACGACAGTGCATGGATCACAGATCGCTCAACCGTCAAACAATACCAGATAGGTGCCCAATACCTCACTTACAAGATTTTACAAATGGCTCACAGGATATGGACATAGTTACTATAACTGACTTACTAAGGGGATATCACAATATCCCAGTAGCTCAGGAAGATATCCTTAAGGCTCCCATTACTACACTTTTTGAACTGCTCGGGTTGGTAAGCATGTCATACAGCCAGAAGGAAGCGGCACAAAGATTTCAAAGATCCGTGGATAATCTAGTTCGGGACATGCCACTTGCATAGGTGAAGATGTAACAGCTTAGGTTGGTTGGTTAAGAGTTGACCCCAAACAACCGAGCATATGCCAAAACAGTATGGTTCAAGTATTCATTCACTTCCTTATTTTGTATAAGCGTTATATTCCCCATTATCTTATATTGAATGTTGAGAGCCTTTGTTTGTCTGAACAGATAATCCCACGCTCCACTGTGACTGCGCGAAGATCGAAATAAAGACCTATTCACTACTTGTTTGATTTCTTCTATCAATAGCACGAGGGTTACCTTAAGGCCCGAAAGTGGTGAGCCCAGAAGGGATTAAACCTATCAAAAAGGAAGTGGATACCATCAAACAATACCCCATACCTAGTTCTCTAACACAACTGAGAAGTTTTCTAGGCCTAATTAACTTTTATCGCAGATTCATACCAGGTTGTGCACAATTAATGCAACCTTTGACAGATTCACTTAAAGGAAAACCAAAAGAATTCAAACTGTCTTCTGACGCCATCGAAGCTATTAAACAGCTTAAAGATAAACTGGCTCAAGCAACTACGTTGATATATCCGAATTCTCTTTCCCCACTTGCTTTGATGGTGGATGCTTCAGATAAAGCAGTAGGCGGTACCCTTAACCAACTGGTTAAAAACGCCTGGAAACCAATTGCTTTCTTCTCGAAAAGACTCGCTCCAGCCGAAACAAGGTATTCTACCTTCGGGCGAGAACTTCTTGCAATCTACCTGACCATTAAACACTTCCGACACATGTTAGAAGGTAGGGAATTTATAGTCTTTACGGATCACAAACCACTGACGAATGCATTAAAAGCGAGAGCCGATAAATACTCACCTCGAGAAGTCCGACACCTTGACTATATATCACAGTTCACAAGCGATATCCGACATGTCAAAGGTCAGGACAATCAGGCGGCAGATGCTTTATCCAGACTAGAAATGAACGTGCTACAGCAGTCTACAGTAAACTTCGAGACGTTGAGACACGAACAAGAGCAGGACCTAGAATTACAAAACCTACTTAAAACAAACAATTCAAGTCTTAATTTAAAACAATTCCCATCACCTATCGATGGTATTCTAATTTATTGTGACACGACCAAGGCAATGCCGCGACCTTTCGTTCCCAAAAATATGCGAAAGTTGATATATAATAACTTTCATTCTTTGTCTCATCCTGGCGCGAAAGCTTCAACAAAACTAATCAATGCCAGATATATATGGCCGAATTTACAGAAGGATGTACACAAATGGGTTAGAGAGTGTTCAGCATGTCAACAATCAAAGATTAATCGTCACACAAATTCACCCATAGGTGTTTTCTCGCAACCAGATGCACGTTTTGCCCATGTGCATATCGACTTGGTAGGTCCTTTACCACGTTCAAACGGTTTTAATTATCTTTTTACATGCATAGATCGATTTACCAGATTCCCTATAGCCATCCCGATAGCGGACATCACAGCGGAAACAGTAGCCAAAGTTTTCATGCAGAACTGGGTAACCATTTTTGGTACACCCATAACAATAACGACGGATAGAGGAGCGCAATTCGAATCCGAACTATTTAATAACTTGGCTAAACTTCTAGGCTCCAATAGGATACGCTGCACTGCATATCATCCTCAGGCTAATGGGATGGTAGAACGTTTTCACCGTCAGCTAAAAACCGCCCTTATATCTCACTCAAACCCCAATCAGTGGACAGAATTCCTACCGTTAGTTATGTTGGGAATACGAACATCTGTCAAAACTGACGCACAGTGTTCAGCTGCGGAACTGGTTTTCGGAACAACTCTGAGACTACCAGGTGAATTTATTAACCCTAATACTAACAGTCAAAAACTTAATTTAGAAAATTATGTAGATCAACTACGGGACCACATGTCTAAAATTAAGCCGATTAATACTCGTGAACAATCGCGCGCCGTATATATACCTAAAGACCTAAGCAATTGCACGCACGTCTGGATAAGATGTGACAAAATAAAAGCACCACTCAGTCCTCCATTTGAAGGTCCTTTCAAAGTCGTCTCAAGAAAATCTAAATATTTCGTGATAGAAAAACATGGAAACATCGACACAGTAAGTATTGATAGGCTAAAGCCGGCTTATCTAGATCATGAACCACCATACGTGTTGTTAGATCGTTTAACTGACAAATCCATTACGGAATCGAAATGTAAAGATGATAAATCTTTACAAATGACTAAAACGGTTCGCTGGGCACATCCGATCAGTCAGTCAAGGATGTTGACAGTTTCGGCTGCAGGATAAAATCTAATCACGTAGCTAATCAGACCCTGCATTTACTTAAAAATATTTTTTCCCTCATTCCGCCTCACCTACAACTCCCCAGACCTTTTACCTTTGATATATAAGTGTTATGTTAATATTTTTTTAAAATACTGGACACATAAGCTAGGTATTCCGAAACGATGGCTGAGGATTTTAATCAAACTCATACAACTAACACTGGCAAATACAACGAATTCAAAAAGCAACCCAGGCGAGTTTTATAATTTCTTTTTCTGGTTAATTAACTATGTTGGCTGTACTTCTTATATATCTATATATATTTTTCACGTAGACTGGCTATACATATATACCATATGAACTACTTCTAAAAGTTTTCGGTTGAGGATATGTTTAGTAGCTTGATACGATTAATACTACTATTAATAAGTGGTTTTTTAGACAAAACATTTTGGATTAAACCATGGTCAAGTACTTATTAAAGTTCTCATCATTTTTTTCATGTTTAGGAAACTTACGTAATGACTTAACCAGTTTTCCTGCAGCATGCTTTTTAGTGTGATCATATAACCCATCTTTATTGGCAATATTCAGATTTTTTTTAATTTCTGACATTTAAGAATCAATAACCGTGAAGATATAGTACAGTGCGTTACTGTGAGGTTACTATGTTAGCCTGTGGAGATAGATCTGACAAGCTTATTTTGTAAATAGTTTTTAATATTATTTGTATTTGTCAATTTCTCACCGCATGTACATTTATCATTAAATGGTTGTACCTGTTGTTTTAGAAAACGACCTTGAACACTTTTTTCGTTGTAATTCTAACATAGCATGACACACTTTCGGTTGTTCGCAAATACACTACTACGCACATACCCATTGTTCTATTCTCGCTCGTTACCAAGTCAATTGCGTTCTAAACTGGTTATTATCCACATTTTAGACTGCTGTACCATTTCCATTATATTCTACGTCAAAGAAACTTATTGGCGTCATATTTACCTCTGTGGAATTATTACTCATTTATAATTGTGGATTTTTGGGACCAAAACTCAACAGAATACGCAACGACTAGCTGATTTAAGTAACGTCCCTGAACTTTTAATTTGTGTTGTTAATTTATAAATTATTATTGTTACATTAACTTTTGGACGTAATAACTTTATCGCTAATTTTTGGTTATTATACTTTTTGGTCCACCACAATTATTTGGTGGGCCTCGATTTTTTTTTATAGACATTTGCCTTATATATCTACATATTTATTATTATTACTTGGCACGACACCATTTTTTGTTTTTGTCATTATGAACTCTCCCGGTAAACTTATTGATATAGATAGTTCACCGACCAACCTTCTAAACTCTCCACAACCAGAGGATAATGCTTTAAACTCGATCAACGCTATCTC